TCAGCCCTAGAGCCCTCAAGACAGCTCCTCCCATCACCTTCCGCAGGGGTGCCCCCGAGGCAGAGGGGCCCCACAGACCTGGGGAGGGGGTGGCCCCAAGTGACCCAGGAAGGGAGCTGGGGGTGAGAGGAGACGAGCCCCGATCTCCCCACCTGTCACCCAGGCCCCCCGCCCGTGAGCTCGGCCCCCACCTGATCAGCCCTCAGCCCAGCCCAGCTGGGTGAAGTCAGAGCCGCGGTGCCCCAGCCGGCTCCGCATCTGTGCCACTCGGCTTCCTCGTCTGTGAAAGGGGCGGCACACCACCGGCCTCAGAGGGCTGGGGTCACTGAGAAGCCAGGTGAGGGAACAGTGAATGCCCAGGCCCTGTTCCCGTGCAGGGTCCTCCCCCACGTTCGGCCACCACCAGGCTCATTTCTGGGACACCTGCATCCTGCGCACTCGGCCCGGGAGTGCCCCGCGGGCTCAGCTCCACAGATGTCCCCAAAGGCAACAAGCTGCCCAAAGACAGGCCCGCAGCACCCACTGAGGGGCAACAGCCAGAAGTGCCAAGCCTGGGCCTGCCATCTCGGTCCCCCAGCCCACTGACTTCTCTCCAACCGCTTTGGTTAACAAGAGTTTAATAATCTCTAGTTACTCAGTACATTCACAGACTCTGAAGGTCTCCCATCTTCTATTTAACTGAGTATTAAATTTCAAGACTCTAACTACCAGAGCCTCTGGCACACGCTGGGTGCAACCTGCCTCGGCCTCCTGGCCGAGAACTGTCAGTTACTGGGAGGGCAGTGTCCAGCGCCAGTGTCCTCCTCCTGGCCGCCATGTGCACCCAGCCACTTCTTTATCCTCAGAAGCCTGGAAGGACCAAGGTTGTCCCCTCAGCCTGGGAGTGGGACACCTCTGCTCCCTGCAGGGGTGAGTAAGGCCCCACCCCACTGCATTGGACTCAACGGATGAAAGTGAAGGCAGGTGGGCCTCCACTTCCCCACTCTCCCTCTTTCTGGGCATTTCCCCTGGCATCCTCCTCCCCACCTCTGGGCCCCCTCTCACCGCCCCCCACCCCCCAGAAGAGCTGGGGCGGCCAGGCTGGGCGCTCAGGACACTTTCTCTGCTGGAGCATGTCTGACCCTGCAGGACCCAGGTGCAAGCTGCAGGGTGACCATCAGGCCTCCCCTCCCTGCTTCCCGACAACCCTCAGGCTTCACCACGAAAATGCTCCTGAACTCGGACCCCACCAAATGCTTAGGTGTCCAGTGACCAGCGGCTTCCTCTGCAAACCCAACCCTGCAGCAAACCCTCTTCTAGATCCCTCTCTACCTAGTCCTCGCCCCAGCCTCACACCTGGGAGACTAACCCGACTCCAGCACAGCCCACATCCACTCCTTCAAAATCCACTCACTCAAAGCATTCATTCATTCATTCAAAAACATTTATGGAGAGCTCACCACCTACCAGGGCCTGGGCGGGGTGTGTCAGATACAGTGGCCTGGTAGTCTGGTGGGAGAGAGAGCCATAAAATAAAAACAGGGTGCTTGGCTCCCAGATTCCCACTGGCGGCTCAGGGGAGACCCCTCTGAGGAACTGTCATCAACAGGAGTTAAGCAGGTATAAAGTTCGGGAAAAGCATTCCCAGAGACAATGCACGTGCAAAGGCCCTGCGGTGCGAAGAACTGGAAGAGGCCAAGTGCCTGAGCAAAGCTACTGGGAGGGAGGGAGAAGGCAGACAGACAGGGAGAGTCTCAGGCCAGGGGGAACTTCAGGTTTTATTGCGGCCAGCCCCCCAAGGGTTTAAGGAGGGGGTGGCATGTTCCTAGGCATGCTTTCACAGGCTCTGGGCTGGGAGCTGGGAAGGCTCAGGGATGAACCAGCTGCACTTGCCCTCAGGGAGCAACTGATCAATCAAGAAACGCCTGCAGGTGCCTGCCTTGGGGCGTGGGACTTTCCAAACTGGGTGGGAAGACCCAGGGCAGCTTCATGGAGGAGGGGTCCTGGGGCCTACAGGCTGGACAAGGCTGTCTGGCCAAGAAAAGGGAGTGAGGTGGAGAGGGGCGGTCTCAGGCAGCACTGGCACAGCCGGCTCCTTCCGAGCACCTCACCCCTCCTCCATCCCCGACAAAGCCCGGCTGAAGTAGATCCTGGTTCTATCCCAATTTTACAGCTGGGGAAACTGAGGTACAGGGTAGCTAAGGAACAACGTGGCCAGGGTCATACAGTGGGGCAGCGTCAGGCTGTGGTGACGAGAACAAACCCACTAGGCTGGCTGCCCCATGGCTGGCCCGCCCTGAGTGCGGAGTTGAGAGTGTGGGTCCCAAGACCCTCTCCCCTCAGCCCTCCCACTGCTGCCTCAGCTAGGACGGTCCCGAAGGGGCTGGGGAGGGTCGGAAGATGCCCAGGCCCCTGTATGCGGGAGGTGGCGGCCGTTCTTAGAACCCGTTTCCTTTAGAGAAACGTGCTGAACACCAAGGGCGAAATGACAGGTGGTCTGGGACCCGAGTCAAGATACTGGGGGGGGGGGGGGGGGGGGAGGTACAGATGGAGCAAAATCGGCCAAGTGCTGATGACTGTTCAGGTTGGGGGCTCATTCTATCATTTTCTCTATATTTGGGGACGTTTGAAATTTTCCATAATAAAGAGTTAAACAGGAAAAAAAAATGCCCAGGAACTGCACAGGGCTGGGCCGTGCAGGGGCCGGAGAGTGGTCCGGCAGCAGGACAACCACGGGCGAGGGCCACTGCTTCGATTCCAGACCGGCCCTGGCTGGCTGCCGTGCCTCCCACCACCCAAAAAGGCTGGCCCAGCGAGGAAATTGAGGCCGGAGCAGGGCTGACGGGAGCCCCAGGGTCTGCACAGCTCTGCAGCTGCGCCTTCAGCGGGGGTCTCCAGGCACCTGGCTGCAAGGACTCAGAGGCAGAAAACAGGCTGCTGGTCAGGAAGCGGGCAGCAGGCTTGCTACTGCAGGGGCAGAAGAAAGAGCAGATGTGATCATGGAACACGCCTGGAATTTCAGACTTCCGCACTCTTGATCCTCCACATATGTAGAACACTTGGAGGGTAGAAATGGGGAGTGTGAGTTCACATCAGAGGAGCTGCATGATTCCCAGGAAACATACTCAGGTGGTTTTCTGCTTGAGCCTCACAAACTCCTATTCATCCTTCAATACGCGTCCAACCACCCTGTGCCCTTCTCTGTGCTCCCACCCCGCACATGGGGTTGTAGTGGCTGATTTGGATGTGTTTGCTCATCACCATGTCCACATACCACGCACATGGGGGGTGCTAAGTAAACCTGGTGGATGAGTGAGGGTCTCCCTCATTAGTCAAGGGACATCTCAGGGCTCTCTCCTCCTCCTGTGGCCTGGCACAAGCCTATGGAATGAGATGGAATGTTCCTCCTGCCTCAGGGACTCCAAGTGTGCAGACACATGCCCCCGAGAATATTTAACATTGGCAACCCACTGGTGCCACCCAACGTGCTCTAGCGGCACAGTACACACAGCAAGTGCTCAGTGCTGGCTTTAGTGTTCTTATCACTTATCTTTCTCAGCACACATGCCCCAGGCTGCTCTGGCTGAAGATCTCTCTCCGTGGTGCCCAGGCCTCAGGGAGTCTGGAGATCATCCGGCCAGGCACGGGAGACCAGCAGAGCCCGCCACTGTCCCTGAAGTAGCTCGCACACGCCCTCACTGTCCTGAGGGACAGTCAGGAGCTTGTGCTGGGGGATCTGCCCAGAGCCTCGCTCCTCACACCCCGCCTGGCCCTCGGGCCTTATGTGGCCCCCCCCGGCCTCTCCCAACACAGGCAGCAAAGACTGAGGACGTTTGGGACTGACCCCGCCCGCCCAGCACCGCCGGCCCCTCCGCATGACACTGGCCTTCAGGAGTGCCCGCCCCCGGACACACTCAGCCCTGAGGCCCGGTACACAGCAGGTGCCCAAACACAGCCTACACACAGCTCCATGAATTGCACAGGGTGGGCTCAGCTGCTTGCCGCCAAGGCCGCTGGGCTGTAAGACCCCGCAGACAGGAGGGGTCCCAGCACCAGCCACAGGGAGGGCTTCAGGCCCCAGCAGGAGCCTCTGGGTGAGCTCGGATTTGCGTCTGGATGCTGACGGGGCAGCCGGCAGCCCTGGGAGGCGGGAGAGCACAGGCCAGGGCACAGCTCGGCCCTCTCAGCCCAGGGGTCACCTGGCCCCTCCTGTCTGGCCCTGCGGTCAGAAGACCCGTGGGACCCCCCCAGCACTCGGGGGCAGCAATGGCGCTGCCACCTCGCTGAGATGATCCACCCTCCTCACCCACCTCGGGAACCCTGCTGGACCCCCTCCCTGGGTCCTGGCCCCTCAGCCTCCTCGTGTCTGTACTCCAGCAACACCTGCTCAGGGCAGCACCTCCACCACGTCCCCCTCCCCGCCCCCCCACATGGAACACTGTGGGACCCCACGAGGTACAGGGCCTGTCTGTCTCCCCAGGATACGCCATCACCCAGCAGGAGCTCCAGAGACATGGATGGGATGAGGCCAGTGCCCAGGGCCAGCTCCGGACCCACCCCACACTCACCCCCCACGGGCCCACCCAGCCCTCCCCTGCACAGGCAAACGTCCCCCTCCTGCAGGAGATGGGGAGGGGCTGGGTTAGGAAACATGCAGCCTACGCAGCATTGCCCGGTCACCCAAAGTCTTCAGGTCACCAAGTCCTACTCCAGCCCACAGTTCACAGGCAGACCACATTACCTGACCACCACAGCGGCCTGGCCACCGAGTGCCTCTCCCCCTTCAGCCCTAAGGAGGCCAAGTGGGGCATCCATGAGCCCCTAAACCAGAGCGAAGGTGTGATCTCTGATCTGAGGGTGTGGGCCCCTCTCGCGCTCAGCCCCATTTGGCCGGAGGCACTGTTCAAGTCCCATCACAAACTCCACTCCACCTGTGCCCATGTGAGCCACAGGCCGAGCCCCATGTGCAGCACGGGCTCCCACCCCTGCGCCCGGCCCGTGCCGCCACAGCCCATCCCTACCTCTGGCCGACAGCTTCTTGGTGTTGATGATCTTGGCTGCGTACTCATGGCCAGTGCAGAGCTTGACGCAGCGTCGGACCACAGAGAAAGCCCCCCTGGGGAGGAAAATGGGGGACAGAGACAGAGACAGACAGACAGACAGAGAGAGAGCCGATTAATCTCCCCAGGAACACACAGCACCCAGCCACAAGGCCGGGCCCTGGGCAGAGATCTGTGCAAGGAAGGGGTGCCCCTCCCCAAAAGGCCCCCAGCCCAACCCCTCAGCGCCAGCCCGACAGAGGCCCCTTCCCCGGTCCTGGCAGAGCCCGGCGGGCCAGCACACCCGGCTCCTTCGAGACCCCCAGCCTCAGGTCCTCGTGAGTCGGCTGGACCGAGGGCCTGCCCCAGGCCACTAGGCGCGCATCCCCTGGCGCTCTCTGCCAAGCCCATGAGACCCAGCAAGTCCTCCCCAGAGCAATAAACGCTGGCCCGGCTGGCTCCAGAGGGCACATGTAGATTGGTGCAGCCACCACGGGACTCACTGAAGGTGCTGGAGGGAAGCCAAACGCCGCGTCATTAAGCTGCAGAGCTGGAGGACACGGCCCCCTCCTCCGCACCCCCACCTCCACTGTCCCGTGTTACGGCAGAGGCTGCAAGTCCCACAGCGAGAAGACTTCTGCAGGCCCACAGCATTAGTGCCTCCGAGAGAGCAGCAAGAGGGGGGCCAGCCCCGAGGGCCAAGAGAAAGAAACCCGGGGGAGTGGGGTGGTACACAAACACGGCCCCTCGAGAGGAGGTGGGGTTGGCAGGAGGCGGCAGAGCCAGCCAGAGGCCAGAGCCCGGAGCCCAGGCCCCTGTGGGTCCCAGGTAGGTCAGAGGCACAGGCGGGAGGGAGCCTGGGGCCCATCAGAAGTCCTCCTCAGTATTTGACTTGTCACCACCGTTGGTTTAATTTGATTTCAGATCATTTTCTAAGAACATTAGACCCGGCACATATGAAACATGGCTGGAACAGGAAATGTCTCAGGAAGGGTCAGTCCAGACAGGAGGCTGCCAGGGACGGGTGGGCGCAGGGGCCTCGTCTGGCCGAGCTGGGGGTCAGTGGGGCTGGGGGCACCCCCCGACTGCACCTCCTCTGTCTTCCCTCCCCAGAGCCCTGGCAGGCACAGGCCCCACCAGAACACAGCCTCCCGCCACCAGGGCACAGCCTGCGAGACGCGCATGCCACCCAGGCCCTCGGCTCTGGAGGACGGAAAAGCAGCGTCTTAAACAGGGAACATTTTTATCCTCCATATATCCTCTTTGAGATAAAACTTCATTAAAATGTACTATTCAACTCCTTGGAAAAAACAAATATTACACTAAATCTAACTGAACATGTTCTTAACGACCAGGTCACTATGATCAATGGTTGTGCTCAGAGCCGCGTCTTCGCTTTTTCTAAGTCAGCGGAGAACCTGGCAGTGTCTGCCTCTGGGGGGCGGGGCGGGGGGCACCCCACGTGCTCTGCATCTTCTGTCCCTGTGATTTTCTCACTATGGGCACAGGTGACATTCTCAAAATATGCTCTTTTATTTTAAGAAAAATACGTAAAGAAAGGATGATCTTTTTGACCCGTGAAGCTAGCTTTGAGACACTGTGGTGAGAGAGGGGGCCGCAGGCTTCACGCAGGTCTGGGTTCAAATCCTGCTCTGTCGCCTCCTGGCTACATGGAGTTGCACTCTGAGCCTCAGTTTCCCCATCCTTCTCAGGAGGAGGAAAGGCTCCCAGGGCCACTGTGAGGGCTGAGCGAGGCCCCGTGCAGCCGTCTGCCTGCGCCTACTTTGGTCTCATGCTCCCCAACTTCACCCACTGCTGTCTTTGCTTCCACTTCCGGCTCAGGAGAGCTGAGCATCATCTTTACGGGCCTGAGCTGCCATCGGTCGTGTTCCAGCCCCCAAAGGGCACAGACACCCAAGCACGGGCTCCACAAGCCTCCAAGGGATAGTCAGGGCTTCCTGTGCCAGAATCCGACTCACGGTGCAGGCCTGACCCCAGCGGGAAGTTCCCAACAGCCAGACGGCAAGTTCATGGCGCAGTTATGGCAGGCATGGGGGTGTCAAGAGGCCCCCAGAGGTGCACTCATCCCTGGAGCGGGGAGGGTCCCCCACGGCCCTCCCACCAGCTGCTGTCCATACAGGGTAAAGACAAGAGTAAATGACAGTGAGCCAGCACCCTCCCCGCACAAGGCAGGATGCAAGTAAATAAAATGAGCGTCCTGGGGGCCTGCTCACCCCTACCCAGCTCAGACCCTGGTTTTTCCTCTGCAGAAGGCTATGTGTCTGGGATGGGGAGGGTGCGTGATGAGGGCAGGGCCAGGTGGGCAGGGGCCAGATGCTGGAGGGCACCTGGCATCCAACAGGTGCTCAATAATGGAGGTCACAGGAAGCACCCAGGTGGAGAAGACCCTGCTCTTAGACACGGCCTTCCTCTCCTGGAGTCCTGCCTGCCAAGTCGGGGGAGGGCACCTCTGGAAACCCCCATGGGGTAGAGTTCATCCTACCCCTGCCACTCAGCCTGATGGGAAGCTCTAGAAAGAGATGTCTTCGCCTGCTGCCTCTGCCAACAGGCACCCGCACCCCAATGCCAACGCCCATCGAGGGAAAACCCCGGCCAGGGATGAGGGGCTGGACCTGGAGCTGGGTCAGCTCCGGGAGATGGGAGGGAGGAAGTCTCAGAGCTGTCTGCCAACTGAAGAAGCTGGAAGTTGCCGGGACAGGTTGGCCGGGTGCCTGGGCCTGCTCACAATTAGATTCCCTCCCAGTGACTTAACTACCCGGAGGGAGAAGCTGGCTGGCAGGCGGCGGATTCGGCCCCAGATGACCACCGCTCCTCAGGCCCAGCCCCTTGGCTCCCCTCTTCCATCCCTCTGAAGCTGACCACTCCCCAGTCTCTCTCTGCTCCCACCCAGGGTATGTGCCTCGAGCCTCCACCCCAGGCATCCATCCGCCCCCTTCACCTCCGCCTTCCTGGAAGGACCACCCAGGAATAGTTCCTCCCATATCGGACATGTCTTCTCTTCATCCATCTCTGCCTGGCGCTCGGGCTGGTGGCCTCAGTACTACCTCTGCCTCTTCCTCTCCCAGTGGCTCTGCCAGCTGCCCGATGCCAATCTAAAACAAGGAAGCCCCCCAGGAGTGTCAGCAGACCGAGAAGCATGTGCCGTCCCAGCCACAGGCCCTGAACATCCCGGACATCGCAAACAACAGTGAGATGGGCACCAGCACCATCCTCTCTTGGAACTCACAGCATCTGCCCGCCAGAAGTTTATAATCGAGAGACAACAATGGGGAACAAAGGGCTCTGGTGTGTATTCTAAGCACAGCACACACCCAATTGCCACTTGGCAAACTCCTATACATTCTTCAAGGCCCAATTCAAATACCTCCTCCTGGAAACCTTTCCCAGCTCCCACAGGAAATCAGCTCAGTCTCCTCTGGACATTGTACCCTGCGTGTGTCTCACGTCATTTTGCCCACTTTATTATAATTATTTATCCGTCTGTTTCTACCCTTCCACTGTGGCTCTCCATGACCAATCAGGATGCTGGTGTCAGACACAGCATCTGGCCTGTGATACAGAAATAAGGACTGACCTAAAGCACCACAGGTCACCTGTGGAGAGTGGAGGCGCTGAGCCTCAGTGCACGTCAGGCCAGTGGGACAGGAAGGGGCAGCCGCTGGAAAAATGGGCAGAGATCGGGATGGGGCCAGACTCCAGAGAGCTGGCCAGCAGGCTTCCCTGGATGGGGGCATCTGCAGGAGGGTGGGGGTGTCTGGGGAGGTGAGGACATCTATGGGGTTTGGGGGCTTCTGTGGGGGATCTGGGGGGCTTCTGAGGGAGGTGGGGGCATCTGTGGGGATGGGGTGTCTGAGGGTGGAGGGTGTCTCCTGTGGGGCTGAGGCTGTGGGGCCCCTGATCAGAGCAGGAGGGCCTGGCAGATCTCCCACCCCAAAGCATACGTGTAGGCTGGGACGCCCGATCTGCGATGGAGAAGCAGAGAGCAGGGCCGGCGATGGGGCTGTGGGCCCTGGACTGCATCCAGGTGAGGCCAGCCCTGCGCTGCCTGAAGCTCCGATGGTTCATGGTCAGTTGGGCAGGGGCTGGCCAGCTGGAGGGTCAGGAATGCCAGCTGGAGTGAGGTCGCCCAGCGCAGCTTGTGGGGCAGCAGGGGAGGTGGGGCCTGTGTGGGGGTGAAGGGTCCAGAGGGGGCCGGGCCTGGCAGGGGAACCGCTCTGAACCGCAAGGTCACCAAGCAATGCCCTGTGCCTGGTGCCTGCTGCTGAACTCCTGCTTAAAGTGACTTGAAGAACAGTTCAGATCATGGGGCCCCAGGCAACAAGCACATTATGGGGCTTTAAAAACTCAAGTAAAGTTAATTAAAATAAGAAGACACTCTTTGAGTCCTCCCTGGCTGAAGGCTCAGAGAACCACCTGGGTGAGTGTGGGGCCACGACCCCAGGGAAGCGGGCCTGAAGGAGGGGGTTAACTCTGGAGCTGCCGGGACGCTACCTGGGCTGGGGGCGCTCAGGGCTCAGTCTCTCGCTGGGAAGGGGGACCGCCCACGTGCAGGCCTGTGCACTGTGCCTCCCGCCACCACCGGCCACGGCACAGCCAAGCCCGCCCCAGCCGCCTCTGACGGCCGCCTGCCCGATGACACACAGCCTGCAGCCCTCGGAGGCAGGGTCTGGCCTGGGCTTTCCACGAGCTGCCCCCATAGCCCACCCGCCCATGGCCACCTGGAGCCCACCCCTGACGCTGGTTCCCTGTGGCTCCCAGAGCCCCCCGCTGCCCCCTCCCCACTCTGCTGGCTGTGAGCTGGGCTGGCACTTGTGGGACAAGCGGGCGAGGTGGAGGCTGAGTCTCGCCCTGTCCCCAACCCCTCCCGGACCCTCTCAGGTCCCCACCCTCACATGGTGAGTCTGAGGGGCACAGTGAGTGCCTGCTAGGGCTCCACAGTGACACCACGGGAAGATGGTCAGACCCCTCCGTCCCCGAAAGCCCTGTCCCCCCACGGCCAGATGCCCCCCAGGCACCTCCTGCGCTGTGGCACCTCGAGCAGCATCCGTGAGGATTA